TTTTTTTTTTTTTTTTTCCTGCTTCAAATTGCAGTTTCATTTCCTTCTCACACTTTAGTACGAGAAATCATTGATGATTGATGTGTTTCAGGTCATTCTGATATCACTAAGTAGCATAATGAGTAGAGGCTATGGTTGGATCCATCATGAACATCCATCACATCCCCCTCCGGGGCAATGCTCTCCGAGTGCAATTCGTGAGGCTAATTTGGAACAAAGTCAAGAGGACAACTTTCCTTTCTCGTCGGTTATTCACATTGGGTCGTCATTTATCCGGATTGGTGAATGTCTGTCAATTAATCCATGGACGCTTTGGTGTACAAGTTACCCTACACCGGTTACACTGCCATATACTAAAGTTGCTACCTTAGGTCTTAAGGTCGTCCACTGCTTTTGGTAGTAGCTCAATTACACCTGGTAGTCGATGGGGACAGTTCTGTAATTCCTACTTATTTAGGTATACAACCTTAACATCAGCTAGTATCATTACTTGGTTCTAGTACTGCTATGCAGTCGGAGAGTTCAAGCATGAGGCAATGGAATGGGCTGATTTACAAGACCCACCTTTTCTCATTGTTAGCGACAACATGATCCGATCGGCTTCACCGAGGCCACCTCGATTAAGTGTGTAGATTCCCGTCTCGGAGGGACGGCACCGTTGGACTAGAGTGGCTGACTACAACGGGAATCCAGATCTCTCGCCCTTCTAGAACAATGTAGGGACTTGCAGGTGCATGCATCTACGGATCACTGTTCTCCCAGCCAGCAGATAGATGTTCTATCCGACTGCAGCGCCATCACATCACCTGAGTAATTTACTTCTGCTTCTGTTTATAACACCGAGAAAGAGCCTCATCACGCTATGGTCTACGGTATCCACAAGCGGCCCGGCCCTATGAACCCTTAACTGAAGCCATTCAGAGCTTGAATGCAGGGACAGGCCATCATGAACAAAGTCAACATTGGCAGATGAGGCTCTGCCGTTCCGATAGCCACAGCTACAAGGTGCACTTGCCACAGGGTGTGTGTTGTACAATAGTGATACACCCATAGCCCCGGGTATCTGACCGAGGGGCCTATATCATATCATATCATGATCTGATCTGATCTGACCTGACGATAATGTCGATTGCGGCTGTTTCTCGGTCTAAACAATTAGACTGCGATCGATACGCGGACTCCCTCTTCCGCTGCCATCATCATACATTGCCCTATAATCTTTGAAGAACCCCCACGGGTGATATGACGCTTGACAGCTGCGACTATCTCATGCGAGATACACATCGTAAACGTCAAAGGTTCGTGGCCTTTAACTGATGGTGTGTAGTCAGGTCCAGGGACTGGTAGCGATGATCTGATGTGAGAGCAACAGTTGGTCTTGCGGTGAGTGTGGGTGTCTTGATTTAACCGGCAGTGTCATGACTGAGGGGTTTCATTAAGGGTCTTGTAGGTATTGGGCTTTGCTGATTCTGTTTGAGCAGTTGTTTGTTCCTTTGAATCCAGGGTCACAGTGGGATGTTTACTATGATGTATGAATACAGATACTAGGCTTACATGAGCGAGTGATTGCCAATGTAAGTACCTCAGTAATTGCTAAGAGAATATATATTTGAGTAGTACAATGATGTAAATGCATGGCATAAAAGAGAACTGGACCGAGTAAGAAATATAAGCACAAGCAGCATGGACAGCCGTTTAATCTGTCTCCTATTCATCAAAACCTCGCCTCAACCTTGTTCTCAACATCTTGCAAAGCCCACTCACTTCTCGCCTTCCTACTCCTCACCATGTCCACATGCTCCTGCGTAAAGCCCTTAGCCACAACCGCAGGATTGTATCCGAGTTTGTTTCTATGTCCCACCATGGTCGAGTTTACGGCGGGCGCAGTGCCTCCATCAGCTCTCTTGTACACAGTGACCACGGCTGCTCCTCCAAGACCTAGATTGTGCTGAAGACAATATCGAGTATTGGGCGCTGCGCGATTGTTGGCCCAGCCTCGAAGATGCCAGACCAGCTCAGCGCACTGCGCAATGCCTGTTGCACCCAGGGGATGACCCTTGGAGATGAGACCGCCCGAGGGGTTGATGATGTATTTCCCTCCGTATGTAATGTCGCCTTTACGGACGAGTTCATGGGCTTTACCCTTATCGCAAAGACCCAGAGCATCGATGGTGATCATCTCATTCGCACTGAAGCAATCGTGTACTTCGACGACCTGAACATCACGGGGAGAAATCCCAGCTTGCTTGGTTGCTTCCTGCATGGCCCGCTGCGTCATTTCGTAGCCCATAAGGTCAATGGAGCTACGGGAGAAGAGACTGGGAGCATCTGTGGCGAGGTGCTGGCCTGCAATCTCAACCGCTTGTTCGCGAAGGTGAGGACGAGCGTTGAGGAAGGCTTCTGAAACGATGACGGCTGCCGCGCCTCCATCTGAAGTTGGACAGCATTGAAGTTTGGTCAAGGGCTCGTGAATCATTGGAGACTCAAGGATTTGCTCTTTAGTGTAGACTTGTTGGAACTGAGAGTAGGGGTTGTTTGGTGAGTGCGCGTGATTGACGCGAGCGATCTCTGCAAAGTCCTCGGCCTTGGCTCCGTACCTATCAAGGTCAGTCAGTATGCGTCTCTTATGCTTCATGGCTTGGCTGGTACTGACTTCTCCATATACTCTCTTCCAGCATTGCCAAACATCTGAGCGGCGCCAGGAGAGTTGGTGATGCCTCTTGTATCAGCCATCATTTTGACAGTCGTCCCAGTTGGACTCTCCCTATCCTTGAAGAAACTCTGCAAGCTGCCCGGCATCATCTTCTCAAACCCCACCACCATAACACACTCTGCAGCTCCATGTTCAACCAAGGTCCTGGCCATGTTGAGGCCAGTGCTTCCAGTAGAGCAATTGTTGTTGACATTGTAGATGGGGATCTGGGTCATGCCGAACTGGTAAAAGACGCGCTGGCCGCAGGTGCTGTCGCCGTAACAGTAGCACGCGATGCCCTGATCTACATCGTCGTAGTTGATCTGAGCATCGAGAAGGGCCTTGACACCAGCTTCGAAGCCCAGTTCTGTATAGTCGACTTTGCCACGGGGTTTGATGAATCTGGTCATGCCTACGCCTAGCACATAGACGGGTGACTTTTTGTTGTTCGACATCTCTGATATTATTTCTGTGCCCAGGCGATAATAATTTGTGAGCTGTTTAAGTGTTGAGAAGAGTTGAGATTTAGATGTAGTCTGTGTATAATGATTTACATATACAGTATCCGTACATTCCCTTGAAACGTTCCCCAGGATCGACGACTACCTAGACTAGACTAAAACCTACCCCGGCTTTCATCCCAATCAGGTAAACAACTCGGTCCAAGCCCAAACTCTCATCAAATGAGATCAATTCTCTTGTTGCATCTGCTACCATTACCCTGGGCTGGGCTCTAAAGAACAGCCATGGTGCGGGGTGAACCGAGATACCGAGGCTCAATCGATTTCTTGTGAAATGCAACCGAAAACAACATATACGAAGAAACATGTCAAGATGGATTCGTCAATAGTCAGCAGCAGTGTAATGATTCGCTAACCAAGTTAACAATTACTGTACTCATCAATGCTATACCGGCCGAGTGCCGGGGCCGAGATCCAGTCGGCCGAATAATTACAACAATATGTTTGTTGTCTAGGTACGATAAATAGAATAGAAGTATAAACATCACCTTCTCTCATGGCCGAGCAGAAATACCATCTCATAGACTCCAAGTGTTAGTCTCCAAAATCTCATAGATACCCCCTTGAACAATAACTTATACCACCATAACTGGGTTCACAATGCATATTCTTCTCCTCAGCACGTCACACCACAACAGCTCTTTGATTGTCCAATCCGCGCTATCAAGAAGCTATACTGTCACAATGCTTCTTCCTCTTGGTTCTTACGTCCCAAACATCGCCAATGTTACTCTCGTCACTGGGTCGCCGACATGTCAGCACCATCTCGAAGCAGCGCTTCAGACACCAAAATCACCCCAAGCTATCATCATAGCTTTCGATGATGCCAGCATCTGGGATTCGGTCACCAGAGCTCTTGTAAATGCTATCAAAGCTGTGCATCTACGTACTAGAACCGAATGCAAGGCTCCGTGCTCGATTATGTCTCTGCCTCTTCGCCTTGTATTCACTCACAGCAGTGTCAAACAAATGAGGCGAGACTACTTCAACAAGGCCGACACAATTGTGCAGGAGAGTACCTTACCCTTTGTCTTGGTTCAATGCCAACCTCGTCAGGATACCACCAACAGCATACGTGCTTCTCCATGTGATGGACGGGGTCTTGCTTGGATGGCTGCCGTCAAGAGAGCCAATATGGCCAAGACACCAAGTCTAACAGACACCAGCCTGTCATTAGAAGTGACCGTTTCAGAAACACAGTAACCAATCAATTCAATCAATGTAGAGTAGATCCTAATTGGTATTCCAATCCATTTACCCCTTCCCGTCTACAACTCGTACAGAGCCCGTCTATCGATATCATTCAACAAAGCCCCCTCCCTGTCTCTCATATACTCTCAAACGATTCTTTCCAACTGTTGTGTACAACGGATAAGCATACAAAAAGCTTACAACTCACTCATCTAACCTGAATGCGCCTCGCAAGGCCACGTATGACCAGCAGTATCAAGGCACCATAAATAGAATGTCCCATATGTTGGGAAAACAACCAACGCCCGCTGAACTTTCCAGATCCTGCATAATGCCACCCAACAACCCTTGGTTGCCGTCAACGTAGCTAACCCTTCTACAAAAACGCAACAATCAATTTCCGTCCATGCCTTGGGGCAAACAGCAGAAAGGGACCATGCCGAGAAGTAACAGATAACAAACTGCCCCCTCCAATATCTCCTCGATCAAGATATATAGCTTTGAAATCATCACTCCCATCCTTCCCACAACATCCAATTGTCAAAGTCGTTGAGGGCTGCCGGTACCCCGATCGAGTTTCGTTGATACATGAACGGCACATGATGTCTGTATGCATCCCCTTGGTACCCATCGACAACGCCACCAGGGCCCATGGGAACGCTGTCAAGACCCATGTTGGTAGCCCTGGAGCAGCGATCGAGTATAATACGGAGACTTTGCACAACCTCTTCTGTTTTGACCTCGGGCCTGGAAACACAATCCAGAACGACTGCCAGACACACCACATCTTTGGTGTCTCGGCCACTAATATTGCGAACCAGAAGGTCTAGTGTCTTCTCCACCGTACTGATGAGTCGAGAAGGAGACCAGAGCACGAGATTCTCCGGGTTGTAGATCGGGAAGTCGTCAGAGGAATCAGGAGACATGCGCAAAGCCTGCGAGCCAAGCCCTGAGCTATCGGAAGCCGGACGCACAGCTGACCGGATGTAAAAGCACACACTCAATGCAGCTTGGATGATATCCTTCTTCAACACCTGATGGTACATTTCGGCAATGTCTTGGAAGTGCGCGAGCATAGGATCTAGTTCATCCAAATATTTCATGATCACCATCGAGGACCTAAGATAAGCCCGAGAAATTTGTCCTGGGGCGTCAGAAGCTCCTATAGCGAACGGTCGATAGAGTGCTAGCAACGGGCGTCGCACGTGCATGTCGAGGATGACTCGCGATCTCCATTGCTTACTCTTTTGTGAGTCACTCAATATGCCTTGCCTAGGAAAGATGTAGTTGATGTCGTCTAGGAAGCGCTCGAGTTTGGCCCCAACATCCAAGATTTCTTGATAATCTCGAATTGTGTCAATTCGGTTCAGCATGTGTGCCACCTTCATCCGGACCCCGAGCGTCATGGCTGCATAGACTTGCATCTGGTTGTCGGTAACCACATCGATGGGCTTTGATGGTGGTAGCTCCTTCATATCTGGGTAGAGCTCATTATCGTCGAGGTTACGGGGCGGGCGGCAAGTGAAATCCCCTTCCCGGACCAGACAAGGCAAGTTGCTGGCGAGAGAGATATGGAGATCCATGTCAAGAATAGTAAACCATAATCGGCGGCGCATCTCGCCCAGGTATATGGGAACCCGCGGTTCAAATTCGGAGGGATCACGATGAAGACCCATCGTCATGGCCATGCGCACGATAGACCCGAGTGATGTCCACGAATCCTGTATCCGGGGTGTAATCATTCGCTGCGCATGTACCAAGAGGACCTCGACCTGGAGTACCGCGAAATCCACCAACTGCTTTCCCCTCAGGCTGTCCAGCCACGTTCGTACCAGGGCGCATGCTGTTGGAATATGCACGCCTTCAGACCGCTCGTTGCCAAGCCCTTTTGATTTTGTTTCGAATCGAGATGCGATAGAGCAAAGTGAGAGCAGCTGGGGAAGGAAATACTCTGATTGTATCTTGCCTTCCCAGAAGAGGTTGTACTGCTCGGTAAACATTGGCAAATGAACGATTCTGTAGATCGTTTCAGAAGTGTCGACGTATGAGGCGATCAGCCTGTCGCATACTGCCTTCTTTGGTAGAATGTCTGTCATTCGCTTCTGCACGGGCATCATTGAATCGACAAAGACAGTGATTGGCGACAATGATTTGCGATATTCATCGATAAGAGCTTTGTGAAATCGCTTGAACGTTAGCAACACCTCACGAACCGCACTGTTGTTGGAGTTGTTGGCCATGAATTCTTTAGCTTCGTCGAACTGCTATTATTAGTAATTGTGCAAATCAAACGGTATAAGAGAGCATTACCAGGTTAAGCAGCACACGAGGACTGTTTTGACCATGATATCGTGTTCGCAAAGCTCCTTGTTTGACAGTCAACCCTCGTATCGTGTCAGAAGACGCGGCGATGAGTCTTCCCCCACTGCCCTCCGATACAGCAGGGCTTCTGGCCATGAGTTGTCTTTCGAGTCTTTCCATGCGCATTGACAACTCTTCTAACGATGGCGCACTTGTGACATCTCCATTTCGAATAGGGCCGTATGTCGACTCGTTATTGAGCAGAGGGGTAGCCGAGCTGAATATGTTGGTATTGCAATTCCGTTTAGCTGGCCGGGCCGGTTCTGGCATCTCGCTATCGGAACCTTCTGACAGATTTGCAGAATCATGGTCGACAGCGTACTTGCAAGTTCGATTTGATTTTTGGCATTGAGAGCATGGACAAAGGCGATCGCATCGGAGTTTACGCTTTCGACACTCGGTACATGATTTGACTGGCCTCGGCCTCTTGACACTCCGTTGTTGTTGCTGCTGTTGGTGGGTAAGCGCAAGGCTCTGCTGCGAAGGTGTTTGTTGCAAATGGTGAGGTGGTGTTTGCTGCTGCGACAGAGGTGTGTCGTAGGATGTAGAGGTCAAGATGGACTGGGGAGGAGCCGCAGCAGGGGCGCTACCCGCATCGTGGTTAGTTGAGTGCGCTGTAGTCATCTCGGGCATGCCTGCGACCAGGCGACAGAATGCCGGAGAACTGTTTGGCGGTTCAATAAAGCTCGGTGCGACAAGATATCGAGTGAAGTGAGCGGGTGGGTCGACGCAAGTACAAGAAGGTATGATAAACAACCAACGAGCGAGTTTCGAGGACAATGCGCTGACCAGCTCCGGAGATGTTGAGTTCAGTTGCAGGTGGGATGTGGTGGTATTCAGGTTCAGGAAGCCGACGACAGCCTCGGCTTGGATAGGTAGACAATGGTAGGTCGCAAGCGCACCGAACTCGCAACGAACATGGCGGAGAATGCAGGTTGAAGGACTGACAAAGTCGAGGAGGAGGCAAAGCCGGAAAATAATTGGTTAAGGCAAACCTGACACGAATAAGTTAGAGAGGCACCACCAGGCACGCGGATTCGGACGGGAAACGGGGCACAAAGGCACGGGACACGGGAAACGGCCAGGGCCACACCGGTAGACGTACAGTAGCGAGTAGCTAGAGCTGGACCTTTGACTGGAGATAGAATGGGATGGGATGGGATGGGGGCGCCTTGAACTTGCTAGGCCAGGGTCGTAGAGCTTTACCTTGTTCGACGCCGTGGAGCTAGACTACACAGAGTGAGTGAGGGAGAGAGACAGATTAGTGTAGACCCAGGCTCAGGTTTAGGCTCAGGCTTAGGCCTGTCTGCTCTGCTCTGCTCTGCCAGTTTTGCTCTGTTCCCCCTCTGCTCTTTTTTTTCCCTCTCTCCCTCCTCCTCCTGGCTGTTCCGTCGGGTCTGATTCAGCCACCCCAGACACGCGCACGCGCGAGTCGGGCGATCCTGCACCTGCGAGCCTGCAGATGCGAAGTAGGCTAGTGGACCCGTTGCGTTGGGCTGGGTTGAACTGGGCTGGACCCTCTCTACCTATAGTACCATGCAAAGAGTGAGTGCTTTGCTGGAAGATATCGATCGTTCCTCTGTGAACAGGATGCTGGGCTCAGAATGCTGATTGGTCGTAAAGTATCGTGCGATAATTACAGTCAAGGTGTTTTTAAGTATGTAGTGCACTGTATATTCATCGCCAATCTCCCATCCATGGAGGTCTATCAATAATTGACCTCGATTAGTACCTAGTACCCAGCCCGTCGTCGGGTCCATCCATCTCTTCAATTCAGGTAGGCAATAGTGCTGTGCTGTGCTGCAGAGGCCAGGAGGCGCTGGAATCGCCGTCTGGAGCTGGAAAGAATTTAGCTTGGCGGGGGGTCGGTCTGATCGACCGATGGAGACTGTTCAGTGGAACCTCGCCTGTAGATACAGTACAGTACTGTACGTACTGCTCCATGGGCCAAACTAAGTTGTGAACCAGAACCTGGCTAGAACGTCAGAATGGATCCGTCTTTTGATATCTACCGCCGATCGTTTTATGATTGATCCTGCGCATTCCGTTGTGTGTGTAACCAACTGTACAGTACAGTACTGTGATTATGCAGGCTGGATTGTAGGTGATAGGATATGCGAGATGCATCTGATATTGTGCACAGGGGCTATGGATAGGTATACAATGTACAGAATAGCAGACTAGGAGATCATCTGCCAAGAATACCTAGGTACTTCTAAAGGGAATTGCAATCCAATACCAGCTCTACCACAGAAGGCAGGTACGGAAAAAAAAAAAAAGCGATTACCATAGTGCAATGCCTCGGGCTTGCTTGGCTCCGGACTAAACGTTAAACGACATGTCCGTAATGGTCACCTTCCTTTCCACTTCGGAGCCGAAATCTGGGTCTAGACTCTAGACAATCAGCACAGGAGGTCTCGATCGCTCTTGGGCATGAATCGCACGTGATGTAGAAGCAATGGTGATCTTCAAGACAAGTCCGATCTCGAATTCATTCGTCGATAGGTAGGTATCTACTGTATCAACAACTTGAACAGCGCTGATTCATGCTCATCATCTTCCCCCTCTACCCGTCATTGATCGACAGCCTCGAACGGCCCAATTCATATGCTTATGTTACAGTACTGTCCTCAATCAATCGCTGTTGGCGCTGTAAATGTCACCTCCCAGAGGCCTCAATATCGAGTGCTTGGCCACATGGCTCGTGCTAAACCAGAACACCCATCCCATTCCACAGAGGTTTTTTCTTTCAATCCGAGAAAAACCGAAAAAAAAGTACAGTACGCAGCGGCTCACTAGACTATGGTGGAAGAGATTTCGATGGAGATCTGCACGTTAGTAGGGGAAACATGTCGATCGCGACACCTAACCTACTGTAGTGTGCAGCACAAGCACAAGCACAAGCTTGCAGCATGTCTTGGCTTGCTGTCATCGGGATCATGACGGATTCAGAGATAATCCTTTCGGCCGACCCGTCTTCTCCATCTAATCCCCAGTCTCCTCCGCACACAAAGCCGTGCTCTTCGCAAGCATTTCCATCCAATCCCCGGCATTGGCCATTAGGCGTACAGTACTCTGGACAATGTAACAATCTACAATATGCACCCAGCGCCCTGAATTATTTTTCATTCGCAAATCATACGGGCAAGGGTTTTGTTGGGGTCCCATCTGCCTTTGATCTTGCGGTTCTCATCCTAGAACGAACCAAGAATATACTCAAACTGCATTTGGCAACGGATGAATGGTCTTTCCGTCGATTGCCGTTCTTTACTTTGCTCCCCCATGGGCCATTGGTATCAAGATGGAAAGTGGTCTAATTGACCTGTATATGAGGCTAGAACCTTTCTCCACCACGTTTCATCCTGGTAGGCGTCCCCAGACCGAATACCTCAATAATTCATAGGTACCTAGGTACGGATCCATTAGTTTACCTAGACCCATGCGCACCATGGTACCATAGCATAGCCTAGAGCACACTTTGCCCTGTGGTACCATTTGCTCCGTACCATGCCATCCATGATCCAATGCATGGCTTGACCCATACGCCGCCGTATGCGCCTGGATAACCGCCTTAGACAGTTGCAGTCGGCCGACTATATGCTCCGTGCTTTATTTGAATTGTCGGTTTTCTCGGCTCCGAGATAAAACCTCTGATGAAGTTCGTTCATCCGTTGCTTGGTTCATCATCAGATCTAGCCAGCACATCGCTGGTTATGTAACTGTATGTAACGGGGCTCTCTCGAGATGAGTGTCCTGCGATTGCCTTGTCACAAATATAACTTAGTATTATGTGGTATGGTTGGAATGCTTATTCACCGCATGACAAGGCGAGCTGCTGCCTCTATCCGTCAGCGACATCCTACCTAGACAGGGCTGAATATGCCACTGGATAATCCGGAGTGTTCTTACGGATATGACCAGATCATATAATCGCACAGAAGTCTACGGATAAGGCCTCTTCATCCCTCTCTGCTCTGCACAATACGCGTGGCCCCTGTCTCTTAATCAGGATACAATTATAAGTACGGATATAGAGTACAACTACGGATACGTACAAACAAGAAATTTCAGCTACCGTTTGATGGAAGGATTGGACTTCTTATTGCACCCCCGGCCTGACATAGGTAGTCTGGGTTGTCTCTAGCATACCTCGTTATACCGCAGCCCGGCTTTGCGATTGGCCATTGCGTAACTTATCATTACCTTCTACCGCCCTTTCTAGAACCCTTCATCTCCGGTACCGCACTAACAACTTAAATTAATTGACCTCAAAAAGTTATCACACTGAATGCAAGGTAATTTACGGTAACTGATTCATAAGTACGGGACTTGACCACCTGGTCGTTCCTAGTCATGATTATCTAGGTAGGTACCTACCTATTCCAGCTCCTCGGGCTGGTTCCTTTGAAAAGCCCTGATCTTCTAGCGGGAATAAGCGATCGCTTAAGCCAAGAGGATCTAATAAACGGATGGGGTTCTAAGAGGGGCACGACAATGACATGAGCAATTGTCATCAATTAATATGGGCCCTAGGAAAGTAGGTACTTAGGTATCGAGCCCGAACTCGTGTCCATTGTGAATCCCTATACTGCGGATACAGCAATGCTCTAAAGAAAACTCTACTATCCGTACAGTGATATAGTTGAAACAATCGTCGTTATCATCTCCATCATCATCAAGTCCTGGTAATTATTCATGCTGGCAGTTGATTTCAGTGATCCTCCGGCCAAGCCCCTGGAACACCGTCAGTGTCAGTGTCAGGCCCAGCCCTAGTGTCAGTGTCTCTGTCCTGATCAGCATCAGCCTCGTCTGGCCTCTCACCAGTCGGCCCGGTTTGAACGCCAAGCAACTGCATCAGAATCCCTAGGACGCCGCCGTCACTACCATTCCGGGCAGCCGCTAGGTCCCGTTCCAGTTCCTCGTCATCTAACTGCGCCAGGAGCGCTGCCTCGTCGTCGCTGCCGGCCTCACCATCTGCCGCACCGTTTGCGGGAGCCGCAGCAGCAGCACGCCTTGCGAAAATGTTGCGCAATCGCTCTTCGATCTCATTTGTAGGTCTTTGCTGACCATGTTGTCTGTCTTCCCAAGGTAATCGCGTGCCATGTCCCGAGAAGATATTCTCCTCCTCGGGTGGTGGCAGCGGGTCAAATTCGTAGTTTGGCTGCACATCTAGATACTCCCGCGGAGCCAATGCGATAAGTGACGTCTGGCCTTCGAGGAACGTGAGTCTGGTGACTCCATGGTCAGGCGGAGAGTCGTCGCTGGGCAAAACGCTTGTGTCGACCTTCTCGAGCTTTTTCGCCACGTTTTCAAGCAGCGTGGTAGCTTGTGCGTTATTCCAAAGATCCTTAGCTTGGTGTATATAAAGCTTGACCCAAAAGGACCGCGCGTTTGAATCGGCGCTGATACCCCAGATTGATGGTGGTGTGTCGAGGTTTAGCTCCTGGAATAGTCCACAGTACAGCCAGGGGACTCGTCTCATACCCTTCTCCAACTCCTCAGTTGCGCGAGCAGTATCGCCTAGTTGTAGGTGGGCCAACACCAATGACTGTCGTAAGTAGACCGTATCCCGATTATCGCTTGTCTTTTCAAGCTCATCCACAAAGTCTATCAGCCAGCGACCCTCTCGGGCACGAATAGCCAAGAAATGAATAAAGTGTCGCATGCCATAAGGATCATTGTGATCCAAAGAATAGAGGAGTTTGGCCCATTCCAACGCGGTACGATACGTGCCCTTTCTGACAAGACTTTTGAGATAGTGATATCCTGCGAGCCAAAACTGTCTGTTTTCAGGTCTACGGAAATCGAGGCGCGCCCTACCATGTTCAATATTCTGACGGAAGGCATTGGTTGTGACTCGACCAAAAGTAAAAAGGGCTCTTTCGCAAAGTTCAGCTGCAAGAGCCATGTTCTGGTCCTGCTTGGCCACGCTGCTAACCTGCAGGAGCGTGGAAACATGGTATGGAAACTCTTTCAGAAGATGAACCATGCGCATAGGGTCTCCGATCTGCACACAGCTAAAGAAGAATGCCTGTGTCGCATCGTAGTTTTTGTCGTGAAAATAAGCGTATTCTGTCCAAGAACCGTCGTCCGCCTTTTTAATCTCCTTCATTGTAAGCCCACCTGCGCTCTGCTTCGGCCAGTGCTCACGCCCCTGGATGAAGACATTTCTGCGCAATGATATCTCTGGTAGCTTGGGCTGCCCAGGTGGGCCGCGCAGGAACGTCTCGATATCGACTTCCCGGGGTCCGTTTCCTCTAAACCGACGGCTGCGTTCTTGCTCTTCCTCTGCCTCGGCTGACTGGATAATGTCACTACCAAATAGATTCTTCATCTCGTTGGCGACCTTGAGGTGATATGGGTTGATGGAAAGAAGTTCATTAATTCGACGAGTCTGAACTGTCGAGTCGCCCCCGGTGGGTTGGCCTCCAGACCTAGATGTTGTGATATTGAGTTCTTTGATCGCTTTGTCAATCTCATCCTCGTCCTCGTCCTCCTGTGGCGGGGGTGTCTTGGTCTTTGCCGCCTTCTTCTTCTTCTTTTTATTCTTCTTGCCCTTTCCTGTTGGGACGGGCTGCTTGGCTTCATTTACGTCCTCCTCAGGCTGTCGCTTATCTTCTTCTTCGTCATCGTCTTCGTCTTGGGCCTCATCTTCATCATCGCCACCCAGAGCTGCGAAAAGACTCACGCGGGGCTTGGGCGCAACTGGCACCTGATCATCTTCGCTTTCTTCCGAGTCCTTCTCGACGATATTCTGCACCTCTTCTAGCTCGCGTTGCTTCTGCAGCTTGCGAAGCTGTCGGCTCGACATGATGGAGGCTCGTGGCGTCAATGGATTTGAACAATCGTGTAGGGTGGGTGAGGGGCAGAGTACTAGAGTGCTGGATGGATTGAGTATCGGCGGACAGTCAAAGGAGTGACGCGGGATTTAAAGATTGAGATGGATTGTGCGAGACAGATATATGAATGTTCGTACACTCTTTTGAAGACTGCTCAGACTGAGTCCGTCAAGAAAGTGCACTGGCGCTGCTACGATGGATTTTATGCGTCATGCCGCCAGAAATGATGACGCTAGTGGGGCAGCTTGTGAACTCTTCCTAAAGGTGGGCTGTGGGAAAAAGTACAACCGTGCTTGCTCTCCACTGCACCATGTTTGTCACATCTTAAAAGTCATTGCCTAGGTATTCGTTGGATCACCAGATTCATGTCAATGACTAATTATGCACTGGACAATCTAACGAATTGAAGATCGCCATTCAATGCGTAAAAAAATCAATGGAAGAATATTTTAGGATCTCAGGTACTGCAAAACCCAGAGCGAACGAGATCTATAGGGACACCGGGTCTCAAAAATGTCAACATTCACGACGTGGAACAAAATAGTGTGGGCTTGGGTTTGTATATTGGTAAAAGGGACGAATATTGTGACCCTAGTCCGTCAAGCTCTGTCGTTTCTTATTGTTTTTGCGTCATAAAGCTGTCGTGGGCCTCATCAACTAGGTCCCTAGTCTCCGTAACCGCCAGCGCCAGGCCATACCGGGCCATCCTTCGTGATTTTAAATTCTGCAATTCAAAAAGGACAAAAGCAACTCCTTTTGTAGCTTGCTATGCGAAGCACGCTTCCAATACCACCCGCTTTCAATTCAATCCTAACTCCGGGCCTCTTTCTTCGAGGCCGATCCTCCGTTCATGGTATCCGTCAACCCAAGAACGGCATGAGACACCATGTTCCGCCCGTGTGGGACGGTAGAAATGCAATCGTTTCAAAAACTGAAAAACTGATATATGATACAAGCAAGTGAGAAACCGCTTAAAGCCACGACCTCTGCTTGGTTCGTGATGATCGTCCGCGTAGAAAAAAGAACACAGCTAAGACGTGTCTAGATTCGTATTATGTTTGCCGACAGCACTGGATATGTTCGATTATTGTTGGGCAGGCGCATTTTGGTACTGAGGGCGATTTCCACCTCGTCCGCCACGACCATAGCCACGACCACCACGGCCTCGACCACGACCGCGACCACGGTAGTTACGGTAACCGCCGTCAACACTCCCTTGCCCAAATGTCTCCATATTCTTGCGCTGCTCCTCGCCTCTCCATTCGCGACCGCCAGGCTTCTGACCTCCATTCTCAGCTCGCTCCCTGGATTCGCTGGAGATGTTGTCAAAGAATGACCTCGTCTTGTTGTAGGCAACAGGAACGTCTTCACCAGTGGTCGCGACCTCAGGATGCTCAGTGACAGCAGGGTTTTCGGGTGCCTCCAACGGAGATCCAGCAATGGCCTCCTTGACTGCATCTTGCTTGTTGAATTTGGCATTGGACTGGGCGAAGTCGAAGTCGGACTCAGGGACAACAACCTTGGTGGCAGCAGCTGGACGTCCACCGCGGCCTCGGCCTCGACCAGCCGGCCCGCCCCGAACGGCATTAACTCGCATTTCATTCACCTTGTTGGTCAGGTTGTCCATGGCGTTGCCGCTATTGTTACCCAGTTGGGCCATGGCGACGGCGACGGCGGCTCGGGCAGCACTGGTGGCATCCTGAACATTGGTCGGAGCAACAGCAACCGGTGCCTTACCAGCAGCATCTCCTCCGACACCTGGTAGGGAAAATGGCTTGGCAGTGGATCCGGTCAGAGGGATTACGGGGTTAACCCTATGGTTTCTGGGTCCAGTAGGTGTGGCTTTGTTGATTTCTTCGGCCTTTGCTTGTCCGTTGGCTGTCAGACTAGCGGCGGTTTGCTTAACCTCTTCGACTGATGGTTTCGAATCGATAGGGGGTGTTGGGGCATGTGAAGGTTGTCGCACACCTTGGGCAAGTGACTTAGGCTCTGTAGGGGGTGCCTGTCCGGTAGGAGTAGCGGCCTTGGGCCGATCCGCGCCAGGGCCAATGGGAGCCGGCTTTGCATCTCGAGAGGGACCAGAGCTAGGAGTTGCTCGTTGGTTGGCAGGAACCTCAGCGGGTGCATTGGGACCGGGAACCCCAGGACCACCAGGGCCTGGAGGGAAAGGGTAGTTGGCCCATGGTCCAGGGCCACCGGGAGGGTTCGGTCCACCAGGACCACCTGGGAAACCTTGGCCAGGAGGAAACCAGCCAGGAGGAGGGGGATAAGGCATGTTTCCGAAATTGGGACCTGGACCTGGACCTGGGCCAGGTCCAGGAGCACCACCGCGACCCCAGTTACCAGGTGGTGGACCTCCGTAGAAGTTATTAGGTGGGTAGGGACCTTGACCGAATGCACCAGGACCTGGTGGAGCATTGGGGTTAGGTCCTTGGGCACCAGGACGCGCAGCCTTTTGAATATTGTTAGCTCATATGCACTCGACAAGAATAGCAACAACATGACAGCAAGGTTTCCCAATCAGAAGGAAGGCAACGGAAATCTCGACATTATTTTTTGCGCTTTCCGACAATGACAATGTTTTACATCCGAAATATTTCATCATATGGGAGAAGAAGATAATAAACAGCAACGCGGTATGAGGGAGTGACTTACGCCAACGATGGCTGGATCATCAGGCACAGCTGGAGGCTTATTCTCCTTGATATTGGGATGGTCCTCAATCCGCAAGTCTTTTACGTCGCTGCCGCGGAACACGATGTACTCGTAGACTTGATCGGAGGGAGCGATCTCTTCTTCGGGTCGGCCCTTGCGACCCTCGGTACCGAATGACCTCACATTTTCAAGTGATACTGTCGACTCGTCCGAGTTGATTTCATGAAGCGTACCAACGTAGCTAGGGATGGGTCAGAAACGTCAATCGACGCGTTTGAATTCAACAACGTACCGAATGTCGCTTTTGGAAATAAGGGAGATGCGAGACCTGTGGCTGCGTAAGCGGGCGTAGACAGGCGTCAATGACCACGTCCAGCATACCCGAGAAATTCAGACATCGCCGATGTGAAAGGCCACGTTCAGCACGTGGTAAGCTTGTGGGAGAAAAACGCTTGAAATACAAATACAGTAACAGCAAGATGCAATAGAAGCGATGAACGCGGGAAAGAAGAAGATAGAGCTTGGTCGTGAGAGAAGGAGGAGTGTGAAGGTGGAAGGAGGGGGAAGGAAGGTGGTTGGTTGTGTGGAGGAAGGTAGAGTTTTGTGAGAGATGAGGAATGAAAAGAGGCTGGAGGTTTCTCGAAGCCCTGCTAGTAGTGTGCGGTTGAACCTCGGGTGCTTCTCGGCGATAATGTTGTTACGTAGCTCCGACCAACCTAAGGAGCTTCAACCCACTAAGCTGCTATCGACGAGAGCTACAATGCCATTGTGAGATCCATGAAAGTCTTCTGCATTTTACCTGCTAAGGTAAATACTTACTTATCGAGGTAGTACCTGGATTACCATTTCGGAAGTACAGCCATCTTCTTTTCATGTCGTTCAATCAGACCCATCTGTGTGTCAAGTTGATTTACGGAGAAAGCTTCCAACAGAACAGTCGCTTCTATTAGGATAGGTAATCACATTTATACAATGAAGCAGCATCGAGATAACTTGATTCACAAAACAGTCAGACATTTGTTATAGTCCCAGAATATGTATATACTGTAAGACAAAACCCGTCTACATTTACAAATCATTAAACCTGCTAAACTCCTTGGTGGAACGAAAGTACGCGTAAGGCCCATTATCAGAGTGACTGCCAAAAACTCCAATTGTAAAATCCATCCCTTATCGGAACTTGCTGAAAATGACAGCAACAATAAGAATAACCAAAACAGTGATGATGGAAATAGTTATTATCCGATTTGTAGCCATCCTGTAAGATCAAAGTCAGTTTTCTGCGATTGCCATGACGTCTATGTGGGCCACTTTACCTACGCGCCATGCCCCTGAGCGTTTTCACGCTCCTGTCCACATAGCCTTCACTTTCGAGCATTATGCCGCGAGTATGCTCGATCGTCTCTCGCTGCCTGCCAAGGTTTGCGAGGGTATCCGCTCCAATCGCTTCGGTCTCGTGGGCAAGAGCCTGACTGTTCTTCAGTCGCTGTGTGCTTCTATCAAGACGGTCCGTGCCGGAGAGCAACTGTTGTCGTTGTTCCATATTGATGTCTGATGAACCAGCGGGGTCATCCGTGTATCGCGATCCAAAAAGTGCCGAACGGTCGGAGGACAGAGTAATCAATTTGCGACGAGCGGCGTCTGTGTCTGATTCGTAGTTTCGGAAGCGCTGGTTGACCTTGGTGCGAGAGCTGGTCGGAATGTTCTGCTTCTCCAAGCGCATTGCGCTGAGCTAAATAGACAAAATATCAGGAACCTGTTGCCTGGTGGCTGTATTTGCCTCCCGCGTAGACCTACCTGTTCGTCGAGCTCCTCAAGCGCCCGCTCGGCTTGGCTGATGGCAGCCTTTCGAGGTTCGCCAGCCAGTTCAGGAATCTGGTCAAGCTTCTGGTTTAGGTCCGCTTGGATAAGCTTGTACTCAGCTTCGTAAGAACTGAAGAGCTCAGAGCCAGCGTCGGTATCGAGAGGGTTCGACATGGTGAAAGGAGGCGGCAAGTAAGACGGTCGATACTATCAGGCTGTCAAAGGCTGGATGGTGGAAATCGTCGCACAACGAGATGAAATAAATTGGTTGAGAGATACGAATGCTCTGCGATGACGAACGCGCAATATTCGGATGTTACTGGAATTGGACTACGAAAGTGGTTGATGGTTTGACGTTCTCGTCAGCCTTCCCGGTTCGGTAGCGTCCGAGTACTGGGTGCCTGTCGTTTGCGTATGCAGATGTGACCAATCAGCGTATGGCTCACTCTCACGTGATAATATGGCCCGTGCACACCAACTCTGCGGCAGTATATCACAGAATGTTTGCGTTAAAATTTTGGACTTTTTCTTTTCTTTTCTCTTCATAGAAAGTTGAATCCCCCGGATTGCGAAGAAAAGCGGCTCAGCGTCACGACCTCGGTCAATGGCGTCGGGTTGAAACAAGCTGGGCAGACGAAGGCGAGTTTATCTCGCACGGCGCTTTTAAGAATTGGTGACTCGAATTACCGTTTACCAGTCCCGTTGAGTGTTCGACATACCTACGATATTCAAAGTCTTTGGGCTTTGTTTGGGTCAAGGGTTGTTTTTAGCTTCCAGTGAGGATGCCATAACAATGGCGATGATATGTATTTTATGCATGTGAAAATGATGTTTGCCTGATCAACTTTGAACCGGGTTACCCACTCGTAGACGCAAGGCAAAGTCTTTTTCTTCGCCAACAAGGAAAGCATGGATGTCTTGGAGGCAACCCTGAAATGGCATTTCAGCCAAGCCACGTCAAATCGATATCGTTCCAGACAGGTCAGATCAAAATGGGGTGCAGTGCAGCGCAATGTAACCGCATAAGCCACTTCGGTTCATGCCTCGAATGGTTATGCGATGCATGCAGGATCTTCTTGCGAAAGGCTCCCGTCGTGTTCAAGCTTGGGCTAGGTAGCGGGCTGTTATTACTGTAGGTGCCCTCAGGGTATCAGAAGAATTGGCGGCCTAGAGCACACCTAAGAGACGAAATAATTTGGTCACTTTATATGGTCTAAGACTAGCTCTTAGGTTACTTTATTATAGTAGCCTAAGCCTTAGACCTAGCTTCCATCCGCTGACAACCTGGAACGGGACCTGGCAGTTCCAAGCCTAGGTGGTTCGGATCAGTCAAGGTCAGGCAGTTTCAGTGGGTCGTCAGCTTAAATCGTTGGGACATTATCAGTCAGGTTTCGTGTTAGGACCCCCAGCAAAAAGAGAGGCTCATCTCTTGTTCCGTCCGCACGCGAACTCTCTCGTATTGTATCCGTAGATCTTTGTCTCTCCTCCTTTCTCACTACCTACCTACCTATCTTGAGTGCGAGACAAGACAGCCCAGAACCTTATCTCACGGTAGCAGCATTAACATCAGCTGCTACTACTAGACTGATACGTCTCGGATACAATACCGTATCCGCTATTCGCTTAACAACACATCCAATCCATAAGGTACTCCATACAGTATTGTACATACGAAACCATGCTGGAGCCACAGCACATGTAAGTCCCCGTCATGGCGACCTGTGCTTGAGTTGTCCAACCCCCCCTCAAAAGTCTTTCTTGCGGCCTCGTCATCAAATCAGAATCGAAACCGTTTTGTGGCTGCGATACCGCTATTTATCATTCATCCCTTCTGCCCAATCATGCATTGATCGTCCCTATGAATGGAGTCTTTGGCTTTGCGCTGTCACATGCTTTTGAATTGCACCTTGTTCAAGAATCAAGATAGAAATGCGCTCTCTCTGCACCTGAACATACATTCAACGTTCCCTCACTACGCTACACCTCTCTGCCTTTTCAAGACGTAATGTCAAAGGCGCAGACAATGAATCCCTCAACTGACCCGTATCGCCTCCTCAGGAAAAAGGTCGCTGTTGTCGGCAGCGGCTCTGCTGGAATTGGTGCGCTATGGGCCTTGAACAAGACATATCACGATGTCTACGTGTACGAGGCTTCCGATAGGCTTGGCGGCCATACAAACACTGTCGATTTCAAAAAGGGAAAGTTTTCGACAAAGGTTGACACCGGTTTTCATGTCCTAAACGCTGAAACCTCTCGTGAGTTTACTCTACTCGCTCAATGGGCAACGCCTATGCGTCATACAAGTCAAGCTCACCAACCGTTCGTTATTTAGCCAACTTTATCCATTTCTTGGAAAAGATCAATGTTAAAACCGCCCCCACAGACCTCTCATTCAGTGTATCTCGGGACTGCGGCGCCCTCGAATGGGCTGGCACCAGCCTGACCTCCCTGTTCTGTCAAAGAAGAAATCTCCTCTCACCGCGAATGTGGCGCATGCTTTTTGACATTATTCGCTTCAACCAATTCTCGGTTGATCTGTTAAGCAAAGATGAGGATGACATCTCCAACATTGAGGTACAGAGCAAACCTAGACATTCAGTTGGTTACGACTTCACGATTGGGGAGTATCTAGACCAAGAGGGTTATTCGCAAGCCTTTAGAGACGACTATCTCCTTCCTTTGGCAGCGTCAATATGGAGTACGAGTCCAGACAAGTGCGCACTGGAGTTCCCTGCTCTGACATTTGTTCGTTTCATGTATGTCCCAATCACTAATGCCATAACGTAACTATACACATACTAATTATGCTTAGGTGGAATCATCATCTGCCGTCTACATTCGCGTCACGCCCCAGATGGCTGACGATAGAGGGGGGTTCCAGGTCGTACATTGACGCTGTCATGAAGGGTTTCCCTCCTAACCACTTGTTTCTCAAGACACCCGTGAGGCGTGTCACTACTGAAAGCAACGGCCAAGTTCGTCTCCACCTGGAAAACGGTACATCTGCTCTCTACGACCATGTCATCCTTGCCACCCACGGCGATGAAGCATTTGATATCATCAAGTCATCGGCCACCGAGCAGGAGCGTTTTATCATGTCTTGCTTCAAAACGTCCCAAAACGAAGTGGTCCTGCACTCAGATCTGGATATGATGCCTCGGCGCAAGAAAGCCTGGGCCAGCTGGAACTACCTCACGTTATCGTCACCTTCGTCACGAAAAGCAAACATTAACCAGGTCTCGCTCACATACAACATGAACCTGCTCCAGCACATTCCTCGAAATACTTTTGGAGACGTCTTGGTCACGATGAATCCTCTTCGAAAGCCAAAGGCCGCCAAAACACAGGGACGCTATTTCTACTCACAGCCTCTCTACACAACGTCTTCCGTCCGGGCACAGAAGCTTCTCAAACACATCCAGAACACTCGAGGTATTAGTTATGCCGGTGCTTGGATCAAGTACGGTTTCCACGAAGACGGTTTCAGCAGCGGACTGGAGGTTGCACAGGACCACTTGGGTGCCAAGCTGCCGTTCCAGTACACCGATTCTACCTACAGTCGTGGCAAAAGGCCCCTTCTTGGGCTCTTTGATCTTTTACTACGCTTGGTCATCTTGGTGATTCAGGTGTTCGTTATTCAGATTCTTGAGCGTTTGACTGGTAGGAGTGCTCCCAAGCGTCAACGTCTCGTGAATGGCAAGGGTGCAAAATTTGTAAACGGCAAGCATCGATAAAAAGTGGAATTCTTTTCTTTTTCTTTTACATCTTGGGGGGGAGTTTTGTTCAGGGTTTAAGTTTTACAAAATATTGGTGTTTATATAGCATGAAGCGTTGAGATTGCTGAAGCAGGTTTATACCGCACGATTATATTGAATTTTCTTACGATTTACGATCCAGAAGTCTCACATCTTGCCGTCCAGCTTCCAGCCATGATGCGGGTGTGTCTACAAGTTAGATATTAGAGCAACCCCAACACCAAGTAACAGCTGCACGCCCAGGCTCAACCCCAGAATAAGATGGACGTACGTCCATTTGGAAATCTCTAGCACAACCCCATTCTGGGGCTGAAGACCTGGCACGATAAGAGTACTGGCGGATTGGCCTACGACAGCCACAACACCTGTCGCGAAAGCTGCGACCAACTTCCCCATAGCATCTGTATCGCCACCCACAGGCTGCCCGTACGTCGACTCAGCAGGGTAGCTCTGGAATTGTCGGTCGCTGTTGGTAGGGCCCAGTGAAGAAGCTCCATAGCCTTGGAGAGCTATTCCTGCCGATGCTAATGAAGTGATGTTTGCATCAAGGAGGTGCTCTTTGCGGTACGCATTGATGACTGGTCCAAAACTGACATTGCAGCGATAGAACCATGGATCGGAATCTGAAGCTTCAAAGGCTGTTATGTCACTCCATGTTGAGCCTTGGCTTCCTGCAGCATTGTACATAAATGTTGTTTGGTTGACGCCATTCATCGCGGTAATGTTAACCTCTGTTCGCTCCTGGTTGGCAATAGTGGCGGTTGTCTCGTTTCCGCCACCTCCTTTTGTTACTTTCCAACTGCGACAGTCTCCTGTTACCTCAACAGTGCGGTTCGTGCTCACTATCAGATCATATTTCTTTGGTCTGGATGTCCATTCTTGGAAGACGAATTTGCAGGATCTTGTGCCACAGTATATCAAAGGGTCGTTGTTGTCCCACAAAGTTCCAGGTGTAGGAATAGTATCCATATCTCCCCATATCCAACCAAGTGCGATAGTTCCATAGCTTAAACACAATCAACATTTCTGGATATACTGTTTGCAAGTACCCATAACATACCTGTTCGCAGTGTATCGTAATGCACCAAGGGCTTGAGATTTTGAGGATAGAACCCTAGCGGTTTCCAATTCAGAAAAGTCCGCCACCGTGACATTGCCAGGTTTGAGGATAGCGGTCGAGTCTGCCGTGTTGGTGGAGTAGACCAGGCCTAACATTGCCAAAGCAATCTGGGATACCAAGTTGAGCAATATGAAAGCAACAGCATAAGAGCATAGTGAATATGAGCTAGACTGCCAAGTGAGCTGTACAATCTTGTTCAGATTCTTAGCATTCGAAATCAGAGCAGACTGTTACAAATTGTTAGCAGGTAGGTATACACCAGTAGCTCGTCAGAACTTAGTACTTCTCGTGTTGACCAATGTCGAACTTTGAGAATCCACGGCCTGAGCTCTACGGCCATAGCCTCGAGAGACATGGTTATACTCATACCAAGACCAAGAGAAAGTCCAATAACAAGAGTATTGAACTCCCGCTTAACCTTGGTCGACATGACATCTTGCTGGGAGTAGTGCCAGAGCACTACGTAGATAGCTACGACGAAGAGCACTGAACAGAGCCATCGCAAAGAAGCGGCAATAAGGGCCTTTGGTAAGTTTTTGGGGCGGCTGAGAAGCTTTTCTGCGGCCATCGACTTGCTGCTCCGGCGGTTGATCGATCTCGCTGATGATGGCGGTCCTGATTCTGGTGAGGATGTTGGTCTGGAAAGAAGGTTCGATTCTTCTCTTGGCTGGTACACATGGTGTTGCTCCGAATGAGGCTGCTCTTTCAATTCGATCTCCGAATTCGGATTGTTCTGGTCATCCTTTTGATTTATGTGTCGTTCCATAGGTAGATGCTGGGCAGGTAGTTTATGAAGAACATGCCAAGTTTGAAGTGACAATCTAGCAAAGGCTTGTGTGCATTTAAGCTTTCCATTGCCTGTGGCGGCGGGTCTTGGGTCAATCCGTTGTCCATGTCAAGTTAAATTAAGGATTTTACCGCAAGGTTGGCTTTGTTAAGGTTGATCGCGTTGGAACTTAGATCCTGAAGGTATTGTAGTCCTGTACATACATGAATATCGGATGAGGCACCTACTATAGAGCTCAGACCCATCCAAATTCCATGAGACATCTCTATATGTATAACCTTGTTCCATCTATACCTGTATGGATTGAATCCTATATTTTAGTGAGTACTACGTGTCATAATCCCTCAATTGACTTCGGAATCTTGAACCTGGCTCGTCATAGCGCGATCTAGACCTGCGATGTGCAGCGTAGAGTTCAGTAGCGCAAATTACTTCATGTGCCGAGGAGAACATAACCAGGCTACTATTAAACACGATGGTCTGTATTAGAAAATGCGTTCGACAATTGAATACGAAAATTGACTGGTAAATGCTCCACGAGCAAAATACTTTGGTATCTTCACATGGAAGAGCGCAATCACCGTTGTGTACACATGCTGTGGGTTTCACTCTGGAAACAAAGACAAGGCTTTTGAGAACATGTGATATGTAGTGGTAAAAACAAAAAAGAATTCTCATACGAAAGCCTGAATTTCGTGATTGATTGGCGTACCTTAGTCTAGGTATTCTGTAGGGTAACAATCTAACGTTGGTGTCAGTTCCATCGGACGTTACAGAAGCCGACCGCCGACGTCACCCAGAAATCGCTAAAGATCATCCGACTCCAAGCTTCATCTTCACCATCAGACAAAACTACACAATCTCGCCCCAATTGACCATGAACGCTGCGCCTCGACTTGCGCGAAGCTCAGCCCGAGCGGCTACTTCACCATGGTCGTGTTTCTTTTGCCAGAATGCCCGACCGAAGCCTCAGCGGACAGGCCTCAACTTTGCCCGCAATGCCTCCAACCAGCCGCAGAGACCGAGACAGCCTTATACCCCTACGATGGAGGAGATTCGTGCGCACTATAGCAAGAAGAATAGGACGATAGCGTAAGGATGGCTCGAGAGTTGGACTGTGGGCTCGGCTTACAATGACCAGGTACTATACCTTGAGCACGATCCTCGGGTTCGTTGCCCTTACCTATGGTTCAGTGCCGCTATACAAGATGGTAACTTTCTTTCCTCGCTTTCAATCTTTTCGTCTAATGGTCGTCTAGATCTGCCAAACCACCGGCTGGGGAGGACAACCTATACGTGCCCACGGCGGTCCCGGCTCCGAGGATGGCGACCTAGCAAGCAGACTCGTTCCAGTCAAAGACGCCAAGCGAATCAAGGTCACATTCAGTGCCTCAGTCTCCGATGTTCTTCCCTGGAAGTTTGTCCCTCAACAGCGAGAAGTCCGTGTTCTTCCTGGCGAGACTGCGCTCGCATTCTACAAGGCGACCAACAAGAGCGACCAAGATATCATTGGAGTGGCCACCTACAGTGTGACGCCCGCGCAGTGTGCGCCGTATTTCAGCAAGATCCAGTGCTTCTGTTTCGAAGAGCAGCGTCTCAATGCGGGAGAGACCGTGGACATGCCTGTATTCTTCTACCTGGATCCTGATCTGCTCAATGATATGAACATGAAGGGTGTTGAGACAGTGACATTGAGTTATACGTTCTTCAGTAAGTTCTACCGTTCTTGCTATGACGAGAAAGAGAGTGCTAATCCCGTTCACAGAAGCAAGATACGACAACAACGGACGGTTCCAAAGACCCATGTCGAAATAGTTGGAATTTGCCGAATCAAATGTATATTATGTATGACCTCCTCTACTTGTAAAATATCTTTATTGCACTCAGGCGTGATAATTGGACATATTATCACTTTCAATCGGAGTTGCGAGACATGAATGCCTTATTTCTCTTGTCTGCAACGAATCGCACAAATTGATTTTGAAATCTCAAACGTAATTATATCTCAATATCTGAGAGCCCATCTTCTCGAATCCATATCATGCAAATTCTTCTCATTGTCTGAGAAGACCTCATCATCATGTTCACCCAGATGCGGCATAGCGTTTAATGTCCTAAAAGCGTAATTGCGGCCCGCTCAGAAACAGACCCAAAAAAAAAAAAGAAAAAAAAA